ACTGCCTCGCAAAATCACAAGAAATTCTTCGCTTAAGTTAAACGACTCTGTGGTGCAAACTCGCCCATACCACCATTGCTTCGAGGAGATGGGACCCATGCCTATAGCGACTACGACAAGGCATACGTGCTTGGTAAGCAGTACTCAAGCGTCTTTGTCCGCGAAACAAACACGCCATGCAGGGTTAGCTTCAAGAGTTTCTGAGGACTGTTTTCTGGAAGAAATTCCTGTAACTGAGTCCCAAGTTCTCCGGTTGCTAAGAGAGGTAAACCCAACTGAGGCTTCCGGGCCAGATTCCGTTCATTCAAAATTGTTGCATAAATTGGCAATGAACCTCAGTGGACCTCTGACTTGTGTGTTTCAGGAGTCAGTCAACAGCTGTATCTTGCCTACCGAATGGAAGGAGGCTGTTGTCTACCCGGTTTTCAAGTGCGGTGACAAAGACCTACCGGCTAATTACAGGCCTGTCCGCTTGACTGGCGTGATCATTAAGTTACTTGAGTAATTAGTACGAGATACAGTGGAGAATCATTTAAGTAGGTTTAACCTGTTTTGCATCGAGCAGCGTAGCTTTCGCAAAAGCTTTTCCTGTCAGACGAACTCGCTGGTAGCTCGTGAGTGCTGGGCTGAAGCCGTAGACAGTGGACATACGGTGGATGTGGTGTTCATTGACTTCACCAAGGCCTTTGACACTGTCCCCATTCGCGACTCTCACTGAAGTTGAGGTCGTATGGACTAGCTGGTCGCGCTCTCCAGTGGGCGTCAGGTTTTCTGGATGGACGGGAACAGCGTCTTCGTGTGGGAAGCTGTCTTTCGTTTTGACAAGCTGTACTTAGCGGCGTTCCGCAAGGCTCTGTCCTAGTACCGCTGCTTTTTTCTGTCTAGGTGAATGACTTGCCGGAGGAGCTTGAGGTACCATCGCTCATATTTGCTGATGACCTAAAGCTATGGAATATTGTTGATATCCCTGGAAGTCCTGTGCCTCTTCAGAGGGCTATGGATAGACTTTGGGAATGGTCTGTCTTGTGGTTGCTGCCCCTAAACCGGGCAATGTGTTCAGTGCGACGTATCGGAGAGTCTGCTTCCTCCACAAGTTATGTGCTCGATGGGAGTGAACTTCCTCACGTGACTCAGCAAGTTGATCTAGGTGTCGTCCACTGTTCCACACTACACTCCGGCAACTACTGGAAGAAGGCAGCTAATAAAGGGTTCCGGATGTTATGGTTTATCCGTCGTTCTTTTGGGATCCTAACCGTTGACGTGTTTGTGAAGCTTTACTCAGCGTTTGTATGACCCCACTTAAAATATTGCGTCCAGGCCTGTCCAGCATGCCTTGTCCGGGACTAAATGGCACGAGAAAGGGTGTTGCGTGTCGGTACTAGGTTGGGCAGGGAATCACGAGGGCAAACCTACCCCGAGCGCCTACTTAGTTTGGGGATGCAGTCAATGCACTATCGAAGGATTAGAAGGGACCTAATCCTAACCTACCGTATTTTGACCGGGAAGGTTGGCCCTGATTTGTCCTGGCTATTTAGTCATGCTAGATTAGCTGGTCTTCGCGGGCATTGTATGAAGCTGGACAAACCGCGGTCCGATCGAGTTAGAGCGGAGACACGGTTATCACGTCAAGTCATCGAGCGCTGGAACCTGCTTCCAAAACATGTTGTCAAGGAATCTACGGTAATGGGGTTTGAGCGTCAACTAGACGCTCTTGAGTGGCCACCCAAAACGCTTCCTTTTTCCTGACTAGTTCCCATCTTCATACTTCGATTCTATTTTCTTTACTTTTCCACGCCATTGGCATTATTCTCTTCTTTTAACTGATTTCCCGTACTCTCTTACCTTCGCTTTTTCTTCCTCTCTTACTTCAAGTAACCAACCTAGCTAGGACAGCTAATGTAAGGAACGTGGGCATTAAATTGTTGGACCAGGGTGTTTTTCGGGTGTTTTTCTTTTAGACCCATCAAGAAGTCGGAGCACCCCTAGCAACTGCTAGAACGATGACCCTCTCAAGAAGGAAACTTACGGGATTCATCCTATCGTTTCAGTCCCACTTGAACTTGAACTTGACATGGCTTGCATACAGAGTGATCAGTATACTGGGGTCTTTGCACGGCAGACCTCTTTACCACAGGTTGAATTGGTTTCAAGAGTTCCAAAGGATTCGTGCTTAGCTGAATTTAGCATAACGGAGACTCAGGTCTTCGAACTACTGCAAGGAATTAACCCCTCTAAAGCTTCCGGCCTTGATCCAATTCATCCGAAGCTGTTGCATGAATTGGCCACTAAGTTGAGTGGTACGCTCACATGCGTGTTTTCAATATCACTGGATAGCTGCAGCCTACCTTCGAAATGGAAGGAGGCAATCATCTGTCCGATATTTAAGGGCAGTGACATCGCTCTACCCGAGAATTACCGGCCTGTCAGTTTGACAAGCGTAGTAGTCAAGTTGCTTGAAAAGCTGATAAGGGATTCAGTGGAGAACCACCTGAATAGATTCAACCCTCTCAGTGCTGAGCAACATGGATTCCGCAAGGGATTTTCATGTCAGATTGATCTACTTATAGCTCGTGAAAGCTGCGCCGAAGCGATCGACAGTGGCCACGCTGTAGACGTGCTATTCGTAGATTTTTCGAAAGCTGTTGACACTGTTCCACATCTTCGGCTCTCACTAAAATTGAGATCTTACGGGATATCTGGTCACGCCTTTCAATGGGTGTCTGCCATCCTTGAGGGGAGGGAGCAGTGCATACGGGTAGGGCATAGCTTTTCGCTCAGGCAAGCTGTCCTTAGTGGCGTCCCGCAGGGATCGGTATTGGGGCCATTGTTGTTGGCGATCTAAGTAAATGACTTGCCGGGAAAGCTAGGGGTGTCCTCACTAATGTTTGCTGACGACGTTAAGCTCTGGAATATTGTGGATATCCCGGGGGTCCTGAGGCAATTCAGCGTGCCTTGGATAGGTTCTGGGAATGGTCTACCTTATGGTTGATGTCCATAAATAGGGCCAAATGCTCTGTTCTCCGAATCGGAGCTGCAAATCCTCCCACCCGATATGTTGTCGGCGGTGGTGAACTCACTGTTGTCACTCAGCAGGTCGATTTAGGAGTCGTACACGCATCAGCACTTCATTCTGGAGACAACTGGAAGAAGGCTGTTTGTTGAGGGTTTCGTATGATGTGGTTTATCCGCCGCTCTTTCGGAATTTTAACGGTCAAGTTGTTTGTGAAGCTATTTTCGGCATTCTTCCGACTCCACCTGGAATATTGCGTTCAGGCTTGTCCACCATGTCTTAACCGAGACAAAATGGACTTGGAGAGGGTGTTACGACTGGGCACTCGGTTAGTGCCGTGTCTACGGGGACAGACGTATCCTGAACGCTTGCTCAGTTTGGGTATGTACTCCATGCACTACCGAAGGATAAGAGGGGACCTGATTCTCACTTATCGTATTTTGACGGGTAAGATTGGCCCGGACCTGTCAGGGCTTTTTAGTCCCGCTACGTTACCTAGTCTCCGCGGTCACCCACTGAAACTGCATAAACCACGGTCTGATAGGATTAGGACGGAAACTCGTCTATCGCACCGAGTTATAGATCGCTGGAATTCGCTTCCAGCTCACGTGGGTAGGGAACCTACGGTTAAGGGTTTTGCGCGCCAGCTCGATGCTCTTGGGTGGCAACAGCAAACTTTTCTTTTTCCTAGCCGACTCCTCCACTTTTCAGTTCTTTTTTAATGACTCAACTATCTTGGTATTCCACTTGCTTAGCTCATTCCACTTTCTCTTTTGCCTTCTGAGTTTACTTCTTTCTCTTACTTCACGTAACCGACCCAGCAGGGACGGCTGGGGCAGGATACGTGGGCATTAATTGGTTGGACAGGGTGTGATGCGGTCTTTGTTTTAGGTCCGTCAGTATTTCAAAGTTCGCCAACTCCTGGTTCAACCAACCGCCGAAGAAGGAACACTGACGGGATAATCTTATCGTACCAGTCCCGCTTGAACTTGAACTTGAACGTGAACTTGACAAGTCCAGAAGTATGCGGCCAGGAAAACTACAATTAACAAGATAGCTGTTGTCTTATTGGGCATTTGTCTAACAGATATACTGCTGAGTAATAGTAATGTAACTTGGAATACCATGCAAACGGCGAGGAAAATTGGGCAGTTATAATCGTTGTACAGCTTGGGAAAAGTGAAAACGATAATATTCACATCTGTGCCGCCTCCGCGGGTTAGTGAAACATGTTGATTCGGTTTGAAGCTTATTGATTTGAATCTACGGATTATATTTAATTTGAATTAGGCTATATGCTCTCTATATTTAGATTTATTTTGTTGCACATCTTGTAGTTTAAATGTGTCAATGACGACCGCTTTCTGCTGAACCTACGGTATCCAGCACTTCCGGGAGCTGGGCTCTAACCAAGGGCGGAATTTTGGTTACGGGCCGAGGTTAAATGGAACAGCCTGTATCAATTAGGCTATGGCGACCGTTAACAAATAATTAATGAGTCCAATAATAAAATGGAATGCACTCAGTATATTTATAAGGAGGTAAAGTTACGTTAAGTAAATATTGCACCGAGTTCGAGTAACCACTGACCGCTTATAAAAGGCCGTCGCAGTAGCCTGCTGAAATTTCTTCACATCCTGTTCCATGTCCGCAAATGTTCGCGAATATATAATTTCACCAAACGATTAAACGAAGGAAGATCTTCCACCATGATGGCAGCTTACAACGACGCGCCGCGGCTCATAACTGCACTTCGTTAGCTACTTGAACAACAACAGCGTTAAAATCTACAAACTTTAATATTACCACGTACCATAAATGCTCCTGAAACGCTTCATTATACACCACAAAACATCAATAAGCAACATAGTCCACATGTAGCCTGGCGTACCAAACCACCCTCACCAAATTATCAACAAAGCACTTTGGTTAGAATCCCGGTCCGAGCACTTCCGCCTTTCTGTCAGCTGATTCCTTACGCTCCGGAACGATGTTCGCTCGGTATGTCCAGTCAATTACATAGTTCACGGACGTTACGTTTGTTACTTTTTCATTTTACACGGCTTATCTTAAGTGCTTTTGATTGCTCACGGCTACTTGGTTACGAACTTCATTATAGTGGAACAGCTTGGCTTCGTTCGAATCTCATTTCTTACGAATCCTTTTTTCTCTTGGACGAAATAAGTTGGTGCCTCGATATCGTGCTTTCAGTGGAGATCTGCTACATAAACTTTAGCAAAGCATATGACTTGGTTACTCATCTTTTTTACTGGAAAGTTAACTTGGTTTGAGTTCCATCCCCAACGGCTCGGTTGTCGGATTTCCTTAAGTTCAAGTTCATATGGGACTGGAACGCTAGGATGAATCCCGTAAGTGTTTCTTCTTGATCAGGTCGTTGATTCAGTTGTTAGGAGTGCTCCGACTTCTTGGTGGATTTAAAACGAAAACACCCTAATCCACCAATTTAATGTCCATGTTCCTTGCATTAGCTGTCCCTGCTATGCCAGTTACGTGAATTAAGCAAAAGAAGCAGAGATTTCTGTCAGAATGGGTGATGCCAGATCCTGCAGGGGCACTGCCCATAGCGAATTCCCTTAGGGTTCAGTACTGTGACCATTGTTTCTAATGTTTATAAATGATCTTGCTCCACTCCTCGAGAACCCCTGTTATCTTTTGCGGATGACCTAAAGCTTGTCCGTAAGGGTGATAAGGATACGTTGTCTAAAGTCTAGTCAGTGGGGCAAAGTAGTCTGCATCTTGGGACTTACCATTGAACGCGAACAAATGTCAGCTGTTATCATCCAGTAACGTTGGGATTACGCTGCAAACATCCACAGGGTCCTTGACATTGCAATGTGTAGAATAGGCAGGTAACTTGAGCATGGCTATTATAGATAGCTTCAGGTCTTCGACGCAGTGCCAATAGGCTGCTAACAGAGGGCGACTGGAATTTTTCGTCTCAGCAGAGTGCTGTGTAATATTATACCTGAGGTTTTCTCCCTTTGCGCAAAGCGTGGTTCGGCTGCACTTATAACATTGTGTTCAGGTTTGGCCACCTTATTTACGAAAGGATGTCGCTTGCTAAAAAAGGGACAACGACGGGTCGAATTCCCCCATGTCTCCAACCAGGTAGACATAGGCATCCATTCCTCGTCTTTGCATTCTGGTGACAACTGGAAAAACGCCGCAAGTAGGGGTTTCAGAATGTTGTGGTTTTATACGCCGTTCTTTCGGTGTCTGAACTGCCGACATATTTGTAAAGCTGTGCTCAGCTTCATTCGGCCCTTATCTCGGATACTGCCTCCAAGCTTGCCTGCCCTGCCTTGTTCTGGACAAAATGGAGCTCGAGAGGGTTTTAAGAGTAGCTACCAAACTAGTCGAGGGGTTGCGAAGGCAATCGTACCCCGAGAGCCTACTTAGCTTGGGTATGTATCCAGTGCATTACCGACGGCTTCGAGGAGACCTAATCCTTACTTACCGCATTTTAACAGGAAGGTTGAACCGGACTTAAGCTGGCTATTTAGCCCGACTAGGTTGCCTTGTCTTCGCGGTCATCCCATGAAGCTACACAAGCCGCGTTTTGACCGGATCAGAGCAGAAACTCCGTTATCGCTTAGTTATCGAGCGCTGGAACTCGCTTCCAGAAAGCGTAGTCAGTGAACCTGCGGTTGAGGGTTTCGAGCGTCAGTTAGACGCTCTTGGGTGGCAACACGAAACCTTTCCCTTCTCTTGACGATATCCAGCTTCAAACTGTTAGTTCTTATTCTGGCATTCTCTTCATTTAAAGGACTTTCCTTCCTCTTTATCTTTTATTTCCTTTGTACCTGTTCCTTACTTCACGTGACCTACACAGCGGGGACTGCTAGTACATGGAACGTGGGCAGTAATTGGTTGATCAGGGTGTGGTTCGGGTGTTTCGTTTTAGTTCCATCAAGATTCGTTAACACCTTATCAGTTCTCGGCTCAACGATCCGCTCAAGAAAGAACACTCAAGGGGTTTTCCTATCGTTCCAGTCCCATCTGAATCTAAATCTGAAGGCCAGCGTGAGAAGTCGTTTGTTGACTGCCTGGATTGTTTAGGTTTGTTCTTATTGCAACGACAGATTAAGGAGTGACTTGATTGAAACGTGTAAGATTATGTAGGGTATCAGCTGCATTAAGTCTACCGAGCTCTTTGAAATAACTTCGTCGGACCAGCTGCGGGGACACCATCTGAAGTTCATGACGCATAGGTCCAGACTAGATATCCGGGCGAGATTTTTCACTAACCGTTTATTACGTAGTTGGAATTTACTTCCCATGAACTAGTGGGATATAGCACTATCGAAGCCTTTGAACAAGGCCTAGTTGTGAATTGGCTCACTCATTTTCCGGAATTAGTGGATTCCAATTAGTACCAATATAATATCATAAATAGTTTCATGAGGTTATGAGGGATTCGTCTTCCTATGTTTTTATCTCTGCAGAAGGGAAACTTGAACGTCGAAGTACTGGGGGTCCTTGGTTTGCTTACCTTTACACGAAATGGGACGCTCGTTAGGCGAAGGCCTGTTTCATCTCTGAGGACCTGACTTGGCCTGATCTGCTTCGATTTATCCAAGCAGATATAGTTGCGCGCTTTTTTCTGTTTTCATTCACAATCCCCCGACTGCTGTGTTCTAAGAATAGTCTTTCTCTCAGGTTTATCTACCATTAAGCAAAAACATGCAATGCGGAATCTTTGTGTGCAGAGCTGCAATTTCTCCCTTTTATTCTAGGTCACACAAAATACATTTTATACCCTCGTGAATGGCACGATCAGATGTTTCGGTTTTTCGAGGTTGCTAGTGCAGGTATGACGTACGCAAATAGGGGCGGTCGAACATCGCATTCACATTGAATCACAAGTTTGCAAAATCTTAGTGAGTTCGTTGCTTGAAACACCGTGCTGGATATTTGAGAGCAATATGATTAGTGACTAGAAAAGTATCACGTTACAGGCAAAATAATGAATGTGAGAAACATGATCCATACGTAGATTTCTCAACATATACAACATCCGTCGGGTGCTCGATGTATCATTGATGCAGAATACACAGGTGGTTGTCAGATTCCCAGTCAGATGGGACTGGCACAATAGAAAAATCTCTTAAGTGTTCATTGTTTTGTAGCGAGCAGAAAGGAAATCCTTTTTCATCTGTCACTTTGCGCTCATTGTAGGGATCATATGAGTTGATGCGACACCATGTTCCACAAGGGAACATTGCGGTCACAGTCAACACAGCAAGATCCATGCTTGTCCAGCACATAGATGTCTAGGAATCGTTTGAAGCATTCCGCTGTTTGCGCACTGACCACTAGCTCAGCTGAACTGATATAGTCATTCATTACACGAGTTGACGAAGCGATACCAGGGCCAGCCCGAATCTTCCTTGGTTTAAACAACTCATGTCGAACTATCAGTACAAAGACGAACGAACTCTTGTATCTCATCTCCTAGATTACGTCGCGCGTAAACCAAGTCACCACGGCAACGACGATACTCTAGTGAGAAAAGTTCATCCTTTGAAGGCGATGAGAGTAAAGCAAGTTCCGGAGTGTCATGGCAGATTTCGATCCCCGCCGCTGTGCTTTTCTATGAGTATGCATTCGTGAGGGGATAGAATGCTGGTAACCCGTACTCAAGAAGTAATCTAACATGAGAGCTGAAATCGGAATATCTGGAGTCATCTAAGAAAAGGATCTCCTTATAGAGAACATTCTATTGGCAGCGGCAACTTCCTTTAGGGTGTCTTAACTCGTGCGTAGGTTTGGCGAGACAATAACTCCAAGATCCTTCTCCATGATTGCGTTCCTGAACACGAAGCTCTCAATATAATAAACACAAAAGGGGTTCAGGGCACCATTTAAGAGGACAGAACACAGCATGCTTAATGGGTAGCTGCCACTCCATGGACCCACAGTGCAACCGGTCCATCGTTGTCTGTTGCAAGTCGGCATCATTAAGTTTGGACACTTCTGGCCACAGTTTAAGATCATCAGCATATTTGAGGCAATCAGTTTGGAGCTCAGATGGAAGACCACAGATGTAGATTTTGAAGATCTCAGGAGCAGGGACAGAGCCCTGTTGAACCCCGCTGATCATAAAAACAAGATTGGAGTAGGTATCGTTCACTTTCACTTGCATGCCTCGGCCATACAAAGTCAGCGATTCAAGAGAGTATCTTACCAGAAACGGCAATTCCCCGGAGTTTGAGAAGCAGACGTCCATGAGAAACTTTTTCAAATGCCCTACTGAAGTCGACGAAAACGACATCCAGACGATTACCGGCATCCAGCGATCTCGCCCACTTTTCTCTCTCAACAAGCAAGTTAGTGATACAGGAACGTGACTTCCGAAAATCATGCTGAGCGCTTGAAAAGATATACAGGTTCTCCAGGTGAAGATTTAGGGCCCTCTTAGGGATTCTCTCTATGATTTTACAAATTATCGCTGTCCGACAGATCGGCCGGTAGTCTGCAATATCCTGACGATCTCCTTCCTTGTATATGGATCTCTACCTAGTTTCCAACCGTCGCAACGAGACTGGACCTTAACATGGTACGACGGTTTGCGTACCTCATTGACCCATTGAGCTATACTGGGTGATGCCTCCGGGCACCTTGAGAGCTACTTCTACCAGGTTGGTCAATGGTGAGGTCAGACAAACTCAGTCTCCTGATCCTCCAGGTTGGGGGTTTGAAATGGGATGGCGTCCATTTCTGTAAAACTAAATCACTGCCACTCCGCTGCCTTGCGGACAGGCTTTTGAGCCAAAGGCTTTGGATGAGGACCCTAATCGTCCTCCTGTCTAGGTCTGGGCGCCCTGGCAGTATCCCAGCCCACATACAACCATGACATTTTCTTCAAACATAAACTTCCTCCTGCATCGGCCGTCGCGCAGATTATCAAGGGTCGCCTTGTCTGCTGCATACAGCAGGGCGGATAAGCGAAAACATGCTACTGCTGGCGCCTCCCTTCT